TAGTAGGGGAAGATTGGAACGGAGTGGCGGACCGAACCGTCAGTCAGCCGTGCTTCGTCGTAGGGATGAGATCGCAACGAGGAATGACGTTGCACGTTTCGACATTCGCGCGTCGACGGTGACACGATATAAAAACTACACGCGGCTCGCTTTACGTATACATTAGATGTCACGATCGTGTATTCAGTTCTGTGGCGAATAATCGTGAATCAGTCTCGTTTGGCGGTACCGAGAGGCGTGTTTCCCAGGCTGTGCAACTGTGCGGTGTTCTATCCCCGTTTCTCCATCTTCCGCATTCCTCGCTTCGATTGGAGTATCTCTCTGTGCACGACGAGAGCGTGTATCGACGGCTCCACGACAACGGAGAAGACCAGTGGTACACGCAGAACAGTTCGATTGAAGGAGAGCCAACGGAACACCAGCTGAAATTGTGAGTGAAATCTATTAATAAACACGACCGCGTGCCCTGCTCTTTATTACGAATAATTCTCGCGAGCTGTCAAATCAAAGCTCTCTATAAATTTCTCCTTTTGGTATCGAGACGTATGTCCGGGAACCGTTACCTTGAAGTGGCCTCGTGTAACGAGTTCCCCGCGTATAGTATACCAACTGTGTGCACGTATATATATATATATATATACGCGTATGCTTGTGTGCAACTTTGTCGCGTTCATCTTTCGACAACATAGAAACGTATCTTGACAGCTTTGCTATTTTGCAGTGCATCCCGGTGGCGGGACAGGCGTGTTTCTGCCCACGTGCAGTCGTGTCTCATTTCTAACCTATCTACATTCTTGTGCACGATTCCACGAACCGTGCAGTTTAAACTTTATCACATGATGATTTCCTCGTGAGTCTAGATGTAACGTCGTTCGTTCGTCGTATTGTGTTGTCTATTACGTGGTTCGTATCGACACGAGGACGGGTTTGTTTACGTCTTTTTATTCGTCCGTACGAAAGATCAGCGTGTTTTTTTTTTGAATATATTTCAAACTATTAGAATAGATAGTATTTACATTTCAATTTTATTGTTATTATTATCAGAACAACTGTTCGACGGCCATATTTGATTTTTAAACATCTCTCAAATGTTATATATAGTCGACATGATCTCGAACACGCGGTTCGATATCGCGATTCTGATTATCGAAACTTGAAAGTGACGCTGCGCGGTAAAACACTGCGCACGTTTATTGTCAATCGAGGACTGGTCGTCGGTTGTGTCGCGATTCTTACTCGATAAAGTGACAGTTTAAATTTTTATTTGTCTTCCTGTCGCACGAAATTATACGTGAAATATACAACTGTGTTATCTTAACGAGTGAGTTGAACCAGCCGGTTTTCTGCGCGTCTCGTGTTCTCATTGCATGAACTTCATGCCAGTCCATGACCCCGAGTGTTTCCTGTTACGAGAAAGGCCCTTGCATGGGTCGGTTCGTTGGCATTCCTTTTGTTCGCGGTAATGATCATTGCGTAAGTAGATGTCATTTTTAAAGAGTAGATACAGATTATAGATATTTAGTTTTCTCGAGATTGATTTTGTACATACTTTCGATGATATAATTGCTTTGAAGTATTGAGATAAATTTCGTTATTGCGTATAATTTATATCTGAAAGTTTGCAACAATACATAACCTAACAATTTTTAATAGTTAATTTTTTAACTTTTTTTTTCATTAACATTATATTAATGAACATGATATTATATTAGTGATATTTTGTCAAATTATATATTATTATATTATTGTTTTCATTGTAAAATATATTAAATAGGTAATCATGATTTGTTATAGTTAATTTAAAGAACAATTAAATCATATGGTGCGCAATTTTAAAAATTTATAATTGATATATTGTTAATTTGTATATTTTAAGCGAAAAATTATTTATGTGTTTTTTCATTTATTGTTTTATAATTGAAATATAAAATATGATAGAAAATATTTTTATTATTATATATGTTTTTTACATGTTTTTTAATTATCATTGTGTTTCTGAAAACTAAAATATTATAAAAGTTTATTTTAGGATGTACACATTTATTTTTAGAATCTAAATTATAAACATTTTTTGATAAATGAATTTTCAATAGCTCATGCATTATTCATTTGTTAGGAGATACGTGATTAAGTGTTGTTTTTTTTTTAGATATGTCTGCATGTAATTACCAAAAAAAAAAAGAAAATATCTGAAAATAAATATGCTCTAAAAATTCAAGCAAAATAGGTCACTTTTTATCAATCAAAGCTATGATAGTGAAAACTTTTCACTGTGATTTTTAAAATTTATTACATTAATTTCAAATATTTCAAATAGAAAATATTTCAAATAGAAAAATTTTTAGTGTAAGTATCAGAAATCTATTAAAATATTTTTATTATAATAAGAAACAATTATTCAAAATAGATAAAAAAAAAATAGAAATTCTTTTACTAAATTAAGTCAATAATGCTAACATGAATTATTCGATGAAATTATTATTAATAAAATCTTCTTAATCATTTATCATATATATATATATATATATATATTCAATCAATCATTGCAAGTTCAATGAATTCTATATTACTATTAGTCATCATATACAGTTATTCACATTAATATTCAGACACTTCACTCAATTTATTACTTTGTGTGCGAAAGAATTATTTAAATATCGGATCCTTGTGTTATTAAAATTTTAATATTGCAATTCGTTCAAATTCATTTTGCATACATAAATATATTCGATACAACAAAAGTAGAAAAAAATAGAAAAGTTTTAATCCATAACATTTCTCTTCGCATTAAAATTGCATTTAACTATTTTTCCAATATATCCTGTTCTTAAAATTCACTGTAATAAAGAAATATTTTATCCATTTACACGAATTAAACGTTTACATACATCATACAACTAATAGATTCCATTAGAATTCATTTGACCGTAATTCATTCTTCCATTCACGAAATTCACATTCACTGCAACCTCACTAGAGACATCAAAATTTTCCAATCGAGGCCCAATCGAACCATCGATCATTCCCTTCATCCGATCACCGAACATTCATCGTCACAGAACATTTTCGCAGCTGCATCCAAGCTCTTTCTTCTCAGAGCATCCGGTGATACGCGTCGACCGTGCGTAAAAATCGGTTCCTCTCAGAAAGAGAACTCGGTCACGTAGCGGCCAGGTAGGCAGAGCTCTCGTTGGGGGCAAAGGTCGCCGGTTATTACCTGGCAAAGAGGTTTCAGCCTGGTTCGTTTTCATTTTGCCGGCGTGTGCACGCGTCCAGCCTCTCCTCTCTTTTCCATTTGCTCGTTGCCAGGTCGACGATGGACCATTCGAAAGGTTCTTGCGTGCTTTGTTTGAGAATTGAAAAAAAAAAAAAAAAAAGAAGTAGAAGAAGGGAAAAATGGTCGGTAGAAGTGACGTGGCGGAACGAAAGACGAAGCGATAATAATAACGGTGGGTCAAAGATGGAACGAAAGAGGCAGAGTCGGCTTAAATTTGATTCACTTCTTCAACAACGTTGCCCTGTCGTGCGTCGCCCTCCCCTCTTGTTCCCTCTTTATCACCGGAGCTCCTCCGGAAGTGGAGGAGGAAGACCGCAGAATGCAATTTCCTCGGGCACCAAAGTACATAGATGTGTTCCATTGCTCGATGCTCCAACGATGTCCAACGCGTCTCTTTTTTCAGAGGAAGACTGTCTCTCGCCCTTCCTCTTTCGTGACCGTGACATAATATTGGGATACCTGGGGGATATCAAGGAGGGAGATCGTGGAGCGGTAATTTTCATATTCTTGCGTCAGATTAGCGAATGGATGTAGACATTAGAGAGTTAGAGTAAGGGAAGACGGGAATAATAAGTGTGCTTGGAAGCGGGTATAATTGAATTACGTTTTGGTCGGATTAGTCGAGTCGGTTGAATTTAAGTGAGTTGATTTTAAACTTGTACCCGTATATATAAGTTCAACCGGATCTTAAGTAGATATTAGATTAATCGTGTCATTTGAATTTAAGTGATTCGAGTGGAAGCTTTGCATTTAGAGTTTCAGGGGAAATTTAATCTAATTTGTTTGCGGATACATCAATGGTTGGATTTGATGAGATTTTTTTAAAAAAACTTTTATCCTAACTTAGTTGATTAATTCTATAATTAATTATGGAATTAGATATAATCAAATTGTAAAATAATTATGTTAGTTAATTAATTTTCGCTAATAAAGAAAATTTTAATATGTATGTAATAATAGTATAATGTTCATGAAATTCGATTTAATTTTTGATTTGTGTTTGCGTTAAATGTAGAATATTAATGCGGGAATAATTATGTTGAAATTCCTATCCTTTCTGTTGAAATTGCAAGGAAAAAGAGAATATTGATTCGGTTATGGTTGTGTAGTTTGAGAATAATGTATATCTATGTTGAAATGTGACGTCGTATTTGAGATGTATCTCTGCCAAAATCGATGTTGCGAGATTTAATAATTCGTATTTTCAATCGTCAGCATCGACCTTAACCTCGATTCCATGTAAAGTAGTCTTCATATGCACACATTTGAGGTGATTCATACTTTAACGATTCATATTCGTATCTTAATGTTTTTATGAATGTCTTATCGATGTATATATACGATATAAATATTCAAATGAGCATAAATATTAAATCATCTATTGAGCAATTTTTATTTTAAAAACGTAATTTCAATAGAAAAATAACATCCAATTTTACAAACTTTTTTTAATCGTTTCGTTATTTATTTAGGAAAAATTTACTTATTTAATTTACGATTGAAACAAGTTTTTCTTTTCAACAAATTTATATTTGATCTTTAATTAGAAAACCTATCTAACGTTATGTATAATCATGAATATAATAAATAACTCTTGATAATTGCAATGACATTACTTGTAGAATGACAATAATATTTTAAAATAATTCAACTCGAAAGATTTTCGAATTTATTTGCTGGAAATACAAGGATTTTCGAAACAGGGTACATTAGAGTAAAATATATTTGTTTGTAGATAGAGATTTTTCGATTGGATAAACATTTTTCAACAACATCAAAGGAACTGATTCTGTTTTACTTTTTTTTTATTTATTTATTCAAGAAACGAAAAAGTGGCTGTTATTATTTTGACAAAATATAAAGTTTTTCGTATTTCTGGGAAGGATGAAATACCAGGAGTCAGGTAGAAAGGAAATGTAACTTGTTTCGGACATAAAATAGAGCTTTCACGAAGTTATGTATCTGTAGCGCCACCAATATCCTCTCTCCGGAAGTTGAATCGTCTGGAACGTCGGTCGAACGTGACGATAATGCGAATCTTCAGTTTTTCTTCATTGTGTGCTGCAACTTCGAGTAGAATGCAGGACAAGTATGCAAAAAAGAGTTTTTCCTCCGAGATAACAGCAGCATTGTGCGCTACATTTACATATATTTAAAACTTCAAGATGTTCCTTTAACCCGACAACGGAACAATTCAATCCAGATTTGTTTTAATCTTAAACTTCATAGAATTTTAAAAGTTGGTCCATAACAAAATGATTCGATAAGAGTGATAAATGTAACAATTGGAAACTTGTGAATTTAATCTAAAACGTTTTGTAGCAACTTAACTAGCCAAAGTAATATGAAAATGATATATGGAAATGAAAAATAAAAGAATACAAATGCATTTTTTGGAGGAGGGAAGGGGATAGAAATTTCAAATTTTAATCTGTTTTTCGCCATTTATCAAGTCAAGTCTCGAGCTACGGTGGATTTCGGGGATGGAAATATTTGTTACAATCTGTGCCCCGTATTTCCACGTTGAAAATAGGGGCTTTAAAATTTACTGGCTCGTGGAAACGAATATCACAAACGCAATTTCACTTGATCGCGGTGTAAACGTTCTATCGAATTGTAACCAACCGAACCGCAGCTTGGAAAATCGTGCCCTTTTTCACGAAATCCAGCCACCTTTAAAATGCATCGATAATACGCCACGATAGTCGTTTCCATTTCGTTCTTTGAAACCGTAGAATCGGTGGAAATGGTGCGCCTTGAATATCGAATCCCCACAGGATCGTGGACATTCGCGAGAAGTATTAAATACGAATGAAATTATTTATTATTTCGATACGATTGAGGAACGTTAATCCAAATATATTTGTTCATTTTTTATAATCACCAATTTATATTACGTTTGATTGAACATTTTGTAAGATATTTTTATATTTTGGTAATATGGATTGGGTTTGATTCAGTGTTTCTTAATCAATTGATATGTTATGAGGGTATCTGTTTCGTAGAGATAATATTTGTAAATAATATTGAGAAATATGGTTCATGGACAAATTGATCAATGTGATGATAAAAAATTATAATATATATGTTAATAATATAAATATTTTTTACATCTTGTCATTTTGAAATGCTTAAATGTCGAATTTAATGTCGAAAATTAAACGTCGAATTATGTTATAATTCAAAGTAGATAAAAATTTTCGTTTTTAACTCTTTATGAAGTAATTTTTACGTCGAAACGTGTATTTATACAGAATTAAATATTTATTTAATTAACAGTTTTGGATAACAATTTTAATTCGAGAAAAAAAAAACAAATTAACTTCTATAATAATATTTTTATTGAAAAGATGAGAATAGAAAGAAACATTATAAATTAATTTCAAAGTTATTCCTTTGATGAAACTAATTATAAATTTTAATTTTACATTCTGAAAATATTCCCTTTCATTATATTCAATTTAATTACGATGTCATTACCAATGTTTTGAGGCATGAATTAAATAGTACAATTTATCAAAACCTGGTGAAAATATATTTTATCAAAAGGTAGATTTTTAAAGAATCTTTTCTATTCAATATTACATCCATCGTATATTTTTATATTTTTATAATTTCGTCATAAAATATTCTTGTCAAACATCATATCAATCGCGAGCATTCTTCTTTTATATTTTATTATATATTTTATATAAAATAAAATTTGATATCCAAGTATTGCATTGATTTTAGAAAAAAAAAAAAAAATATAGATGTATCTCGGCTTTATGCCGTGGAACGTATACGAGGATCAATTGCAATTTCGGCTGGAGAAACATTCAATAGAAATCCGAAATCCAGTTAGTATTCGACAGCAAGAGGTTGTATTTGATTAATAGGCAATTCAGGTATGCAGAGGTCGTTCAACAATGTGAAGTACGGTTTCTGTTTAAAGGGATCGTTGAGTTTCAGTGAATTTTTTTTTTATTTTGCTTGATAAAATTTTAGATTTTTCCCTCTCTTTCTCTTTCTCTTCTGCTTTAGGTTTTGAAAATATTTGTAATATTTTAATTTTTATTGAATATTTACGATATTTATTTCAACTTCTGTTTTATTTAATAATATTTTTATCAATAAAATTGGAATATAAATCGAAAGAAACAAATAAGAATGATATAGGTAGATTTGAAAATTTTTAATTTAATGTTTTTAAGTAAAAAGATACCTAGGTTATTGACACAATTGATATTATAAGAAAAAATGGAATTCTACGTGTTTATTCTTCAATTATTCGTAAAAATAAAATTATTAAAAAAATAAAACACATTTTTAGAAAATAAAAGCTAATAAAAATTATTAATAATACGAATTCTAATTCAATGAATCTTTAAATTGAGATAATACGAAAACTATTCGAGATATTTCAAATTTTATTATTTCAATATAAAATCGTATACGATATTAATTGGACACAATTTCATTCGATCGATTTCTTCAGTTTTTTTCATCATTTCGCTCAATGAATAATATTCAATATCCTAAAATTTCATAAAATGGGCTTTTATATCAAAATAAAAAAACCTAAAATATTTCAACCAGGTTTGCTTTTTATCTCAATTTAAAGATGTAGCATTTGGATTCTCATGATAATAAATACAATAAGCATCACTTTTTTATATCACGAGAATTTGAAATTAAACGTATTTAATATTATTTGTCGAATATTAATTTCAAACGTAAGGGAAAATAATGCTAAACGTGGAAAATTTTTAAACGCAGAGATTGTCATTTTACCAGGTAATTTGTTATACAGTCGAGTGATTTATTTAAAAAAACTTGTATCGTGTTGGATGTTGTGCGCAAGGAAACGTGTGACGTCGACGAAAATTTATGTCGCATCGCATAAAAGCTTACCCCAAAAAAGAGAAATTGGGATCAGTGTTACATCAGAAGTACAATTCCCTCAGGGAGCAAGGTTCTCGTTCCAAGAAATCGTGGCTGTCCGGGGCGAGTGATGCTTGTTCCTATACTTTCCATGAAATTTGATTGTTCGTGTTCCTTCTTTTTTTTTTTTTCACACTATGTTAATACACACACACTGTAAACTTCTCGCGTATTTTCCTTCTTCTTTAGTCAAATATCCTCGAATGCAATTCTCGAAGGAAATATATAAATTTGGAAAAAAGTTTTCTCGTGGAAGATATTGGGAGAAAGAAAAAAATTAACGTCACATATTTTTCTTTATTCTTAAAATTTTTCTCTTACAATTTTCATAACATTTTTTATTAATATATAAATAAAATATATAATTCGTAAACGCACGATTATAATTAAATTAATAGAACGAAAATAAATCTATCTTGGTAAAAATTTAATTAAACCAGCTTTTTGAATTATATTTTTCCAAGTATAAAAATTCTAATATCAACGTTGTTAATATCAACGTCTTTTTAATACGTTTCTCTTGGATCATTAATGATTCAAGAACGCTCGAATAAAAAGCACAACTTATTTCGCAGAATGTATAAAAGAATAAAGAAAAAATCACAGTGTACAGTGTTTCCCATTTCGAAAGTATCAAACAGATCGGTAGCTCGTCAACCTCATTAAAAAAGGGGGAGGGAGGAGGAGGAAAATTGGGAGAAAGAAAAAGAAAAAAAAAAAAGAAAAAGAAAACAGAAAATTTGCATCTCCTTAGTAAATCTCTCGTACGAAGGAAATCAGGTCGAGTTACACACTGAATGCAATTTTCTCGGTATACCGTGTAACCATTCCGACGTCTATCGATCCTGTTTCTTTTCATTTGAAAATCTGACTCGTTCGAGCACTCTTCACTCGCGAAGATGATGCGAGTTGCGTGCACAGTTAAAAACTTCCCAGTTAAAAACTTGGGAAAGAAAGCTCAACTTGATTTTATTATCAAAAAATGCAACTTCGTTGGAAATTCGAATAAGCTAATAAGCTTGTCTCTGGATAATTTGGATAGAAAACTGTGGAAATGGTCGTGTTAATATCGTGTTACATAGAGCCAAAACCATCAAAATCTAATCAGAGAGATGGACGATGCTGGTTGGACATTAGTTAGGTCTTCATTGATATGCAAACAATGGCTGGTTACGTTGATGTTTTGGTTTATTCTCGTTTACCTCACTGAACCGTAATTAAATCTTGATTGTTGCGGCCGTTGTTTTATGGGAATTTGTAATTTTCCGAAAGAAACACGAGGCGAGGCAAACGAGTCGAGTTTATTCCGCAATTCGAGTAATTATACTTTTAACGAACACTTTTCCTTGGTCCATATTGTTTTTAATTATCTTTGAATCGCAACATTCGCGAATATAATATCTTTCTAAGAAGGATTCTTAAGATTCTTAATTAATCCTTTGAGAAACATATTTTTTTCTTAATCATTAATAAATTATTTTTTTGTTATGTATATATATATTTTTATTGTATTATATTATTTTCCATGATTTTAACTATCTCTTTATTCGGTCGTAAATCACTACAACCAAGCCGTGACAGTCAAGGATTGATGTATCTTTCATGTCACGCGTACGTTTCGAAAAATATAGGAAAGGATATAAAAAAAGAATTAGAGAAGAAATTTTTCAATTGTTTATTTTAAATATATCAACCTCTCATTTGTGAAAAAATTTTTTTTCTTAACTATTCTAGTCTCTCAAAAAGATTAAAAAAGATTTTAGAGCATCTATTTGCGAATGTTCCTAAAATACAATTAGATTGCCTAAGCTTAATTAAGAATGGTTAAAAATAAGCGTATTCCGCTGACCGATACTATATACTGAAAGAAAATTCCCCATTTTCTATCAAAATCTATCCAACTATGATTCGAAATTAATAGGAATACGATTTTCAGATCTCGATCCTGGACGGAGGATGAGCTAAAACGGAGCGAAATAGAGAAGAGCGGAACGAAGCGAGGGAACGAGTCATCGACGAATTTTCCTAGGTATGCAGCCAGCAGGGAGGATGCAACGGTCGATGACGTGAATCGACCGACTTTTCGGTCGATAACTGCCTGCCACGATTGGCAGCCTCTGAATGGCTGGCCAACCGTTCCGTCACTTCTGTCGGTGGACTGTTGTGTGCCCCGGTACCGGATAACCGGCCTATAAGTGCGTTTCCTCCTGCCGCGGCCCGCCCGAACGATAATCCTTTATCCGTGATATTCCATTTCTGCCTCGTATTACCAAATGCTGTTCGTATACGGTTGAAGTGATCCCCTTGACCGTCTCCGAGTTTCTTCGTCACACTCCCCGCTTCGCGATCGTTGGAACGAGCGAAGAGGATCCCCCCACCACGTCACGAGTCTTGCCCGATAGAGGAGTGGGAGAAGAGGGGGAAGAAAGGCGGGAAGAACAGGGAAGAAGCGGCCTATTCTGTTTGGAATAACAGTTTGTCGAAGGTCGTTGCCGATCTTCCATCACGTAATCAAAAAGTTGGCGAGCGAAATAGAGGAGAGAGAGAGAGAGAGAGAGAAAGAGAGAGAGGAATTAGTTAAAGGAACGAAGAGAGAAGAAGTTTGTCGGAAGGTGGGTTCTTCTCTTCCTTCTTTTTTTTTTCTCCTCCTCTCTCTTTTCCTTTCCTTTCTCTCGGCGTGGAAGACAAGTGGCCACTTTCTATCCAGGGGTCGGCGGATGAAGGCAAAGTGGACGGTGAACAACGCGGAACACCGGTTCCTTTACTACGCGCCTCGCCCTTGATTCAGAAGGACGGCCACGTGCACGACGGTGCGAGACCACGATAATCGGTATCACGGAGAATCACGTTCATTTCCCCACCAACTACGGCCACATGACTTGACGATCGCCCCACCTACCGCTGTTCGTCGTTGAGCGAAAGCGGCGACAGTGGCAGCAACGTGACCGACGTGGGGAGGGCGAGCGCATCACGACGACCACGACGACGATCGACGACACCAACAACGACGGCGACGACGACGACGACGACGAGGAAGAAGGAAGAAGAACGGCGGAGGAGTAAGTCATCGGTTACTCGCAAGCGAGGAGGCTACTTAACGAGTGACATAGGCCGTTGGTGGTTCAGTTAGCCGCGGACGGTCAACCCAGGTGCGAGAGTCGTTCGTGCTCTTGCATTTTATCCTTTTTTTTTTGTTATCTCCCCCCTCCCTCTTCCGTTCTTTCTTTTCTTCCCCCGCCTCCTTATCCGTCTTATTATCGTCCATCTTTTTCCAACGACGAGTTTTTCGGTTGGGAAAAAGGTTCGTTTCCATCGTGCTCGAATAGATAGATAGATGGATGGATAAATAGATAGATAGATAGATAGATAGATAGATAGAGATAAGTGGGCCGTGTTGACGTGGTGGCTGTGCTGGTGCCGTTGTTTGTTGTCGTTGTTCTTGTATGCTCGTTGCCTCCTCGGTTCGCCGGTAGAGAAGTAGCGGTTTTCAGTGTGGATAGTGCGGATAATAGTGACGAGTGTGAAACTGGAGCCGCAAGTGGTAGCAGCAGTTGCAGTCGAGAGGCAGAGCTATCATGTGCCCGCGGAGGATCTTCGGACTGGCCATCGTCGCGCTGGTGACTTTTGGTGGACGAGTGGCAGCCTATACGAATCAGTGGGCAGTGCACATCGAGGGGGGACCGGATGTGGCCCAGCAGGTCGCGCGGGAGCATGGATTTCAATATCTCGATAAGGTAGGAATTACATTATGATTCATTTTCTCTCCTTTTTCATTGATTTTGATTTTTCTTCTACTCGAAACGATATGAGAGATGTAATATTAAAATTATAATATAATATTAAAAATAACGATTTACGTTGTCTGGTATTATTTGTAGTTATTATTACGGGAAATTGATTGGAATTGGCCAGAAAAAATAGATTGCAGTAAATAGTTTTAATTCTTTTTTTATTTTAAATAGGAGAATTTATTATCTATATTATATCTCTTATCTAACGCGTATGTATGTCGTGTCGTATTTATTTGAAAATAAGGAGAGAGTTTTGTTTTTGTTTCGAAATTAATATAATTTATTTAAAAATGAAATTTAATTAAAAATGACTGATAATAACGTTCAATATATCTGTACAACGATATTTCTTTTTAAATTCACGATCAATGATACCAATATTGATAAATATCGACAAATATTATTGTTTTCGTGTCTTTAGATAAAGAAATATAATATATTGAAATTAAAAATAAAATTATTAAATAAAAAAATCGATCCATTATATATATTCTTAAATCTATATATCTAATTCTATAAATAATAATTATTGAAAAAATTATTCTTACTAAAAATACAAATATTAAATTTTATTGAATTAATTGAATAAATCAATCATTCAGAAATAATTAATTTATTTATAAATAATATAAAATATAATCTTATTATTATTATAAACAATCTAAATTTAAACAATAAAATTCCACAAATTAATATTTTTATAATAATTTAAAATAATATTCTTGATAATTACGAATAAAATAAGTATCATTAAACATATAAAAAAAAAACAAAAAATCGATTGGAAAATTCGCAATTCGACGAAATTTGCAGTTCATTTCGCGAAAAGCGTAAAATAATATTAAAATCGGATTAAACAAACGATCGTCCGTTATTTTTATCTCTCGCTCGTATATCCGCAATTTCATACGAACGATTCACAATTCGTGACAGCATTATACATTTCCACGCATCTTCGAATGATTCGCATTCGCGGAATAACTCTCTCTTATAGCTTTGTAAATCATACCGTGGGATGCGATACGTCCCCGTTCACTCTGCGTGAAAAATTTTTTCAATTCGATCAGGAAAAATAAAAAAAAAATGTGCAACACAGCAACAAGTAATACACAGTGCACACGTGTGTAAAATAACACGACGATTGCGTGAAAAAATACGCGTGAATTTTATTTTCTCAATGTGTTAGATTTCACACGCTAAATCAAACATCATGAAATATTTTTCACGAGGAATAATAATATCGCAATAATCCCTGTATTAAAAACGCTTTGTAATTCCCGCAAATCATTCGTGGCAATAGTTTCACGTATCTCTGCAAAGGTCAGGGTTTAACGCTTGCTTCCCGCTGACCCGAAGCACGAACGAGTCGGTCACTTGAAAAGATCACTTTTCATTTTCTCTTTGGCATTCGTGGAATGCAGCTCGTATCTATTCGGGTTATTAAGGTTTAGCCTTTGTTGATTAATGTGGCCGATATTATAATTATAATCGTAGATCTAAAATAACGCGGTCGTGTCGCTTCGAACGTGGAATTTAATTGCTGATTCGTGCCCGTTGATATCTCTCGCTCGTTATCGAAAGGAAATCGAAGTAGCTCTTGGGTTTTCTATCGTGGACAATTAGACCGGCTCGAAAGTTACGGTGATCGTTGTTCGAGGACTATAAAACGAGGTGGAGGTATCTAATAAGTAGAGCTCTTTAGAATGTGCATCAAAAGATCTGGCTTTGTACAAGCACTTGGGGGAAAAATCGGAGAGAGGCTATTTTATCTTCTCTTTTAATTAACAAAGTTTCCTTTTCCGGAAATCGTGAATAAATTATACGCAAATTGAAGGATATATGTATATAATAAAAAATAAAAGTTTAGCTGATTGTTTTTATCTATTTTATAATTAAATGATTATAAAATATTGATACTGGATTCTTTTTATTTATTAATATGGAATATTGTGTAGACGATTGTGCAGATGAATAATTAGAAAATTGTGAAAAAAACAAGGAAATATTTTAAAATTGCGAACTCTTGCAAAATAACACTTATGTAACTTATGAATTGTTACGTCTTCAGTTTCCTCTTTATTTTTTATTCATCCTCAGGGAGATTATAAGTATAAAATTGAGATGAGATTTATCTCGATAATGATTCTTTATTATATTTATATTTATCCTTAGAATAATTTCAATAAAATTCAATAATTCAAATTAGACATCTAAAAAATCGATGAATTTTTTTTTTTTTCATTCAATTTTCATTCAACGTATTCGATACCAAAAATTGAGAAAGATTTTCAGTTATGGATCTTTTGATAAATACGAGAGATATTTGTAAAAAATTAAAAACGAAATCAAAAATAATTGCATATACCAACAGCATTATTCATATTTACTCGTATGCAAATGCAATATTTGAAATCTTATTTGCACTTTTCTTGAAGCAAGCATAAATTCATTAAATATCGAATGGAGGAGAACAATGTGCCATTAATTATTGCAAAAATACATAAATAATTATCAACTTTCGCTTTTGTTAATTTTCTCAATTTGAACGAATTAAATTTAATATCAAATATTTAGAAAAATGTCTCGATTAAACGATTAAAGAAAACTCCCGAATCTCCAATATAATTAAAATTATTTTCACGAAATTTCAGATTAAATAACGCTAAAGAAATATCGAAAACGAAAACGTTCCTCATTATCTGATATTTTATTTTCACGAGTTATTTTTCGTCCAAAAAAGCAAAATGGCAAAGTGGCCATTTATCGTAATTTTTTTTCCCCATCGAACAATATCACATCATTTCACAAATTGTAACTATTTCCGAAATCGATCCCTTATTCCTGTGTATACCAGATTGGTATGCCAAATCGATCTTGATATCACGGCTAGTAACTTTTTCGCGATCAAAGTGAGAAATTTGCTTGAGGTGGAGGCTCAATCATGCGAGGCTCATCTTTCCCCCGTCACGTGTAATATTGCCGGGTTCCTCGTTCAAGAGGAACATTTCCGAGGTCTCTTTAAAAAAGGGAGCTACGAATTCTTCAATGTAATTTCAGGATTTCTTCGTGTTTATGCAATTCGACGGAATTCCGACGGAATTTTCTTTATATTATTATCAGGGCGTCGTCCGTGGTTATTTGTTGATGGTTTATCTTCGTCGTATTATTGCCGCAATTTTTCTCTCTTGGAGTTATTTATTCAGCGTTTCCTACATTTGAGATAATAATTTATAAATTTATGTATAAGCAGTGTTGAAATGTATTCCTTTCTATATTGGGCAAAAATAAAGATTATACACGGTTGTATATTGATTGTGAAATTGTTCCTTTAAAAAGAGATTGTCATTGAACTTGGAGGAAGAGATATAAATTTAAAGAAAAGAAGGAAACGTAGGAATAGTATTTTTATAAAAATTTTAAATTAATCAATTTGACCATATATAATATTATTAAATAAGTTTAATAATTAATTAATATTTTCAGAATTTGTAAGTATCCAAGCTATATACGTCAATTTTGATGAATTTTACTTTTTTGAAAAATAATTCTCAAAAAAGTAATCGATAATGCATATCGAATAAGTCATAAATTTAGGATAACATATTTTTCAAAATATTAATCTTTAAAAATTGAAACT